AAAAAAAAAAACCAATTTTTGTCGATAAATTGACTCCCCAATCCGAAACATGTTCGACACGTGTCTGAAGCCCCGATAATTGAGTAGATAATTGCATGAAAAAAATACTAAGTCGACGATGACAGTGGCAGTACACGAACGATACGACTTTTTTCCACTCAGGGACAACCGGCAACTGCCTTGAAAACACTAATGAGTAATGACGAGCGTTGAAAGACTCCGAGGTCTCACAAAGTGTATCTCGGTGAATCTCCAATGAAATTTATCACTTCATCGGTACGAGTTCGTCGGTACCGATGTTATTATCGAAAACATTTGGAAATAGCCGACCCTGACGTTGTTTAATTTACCGATAAACATGCACATTACTTATTGCACACCCGCCAATGCACTTCCTACTTCATTAAATCTCAGTTTTTTCCGTCAATTATCACGGAGAAAAATATTTAGATAATAACTCATCAGTGCTATTCCACCTATTCTCATAATTTTCTCAATACCGCGAGTGGTGCCAGTGAAAAAATTACCAACAAATTCCACATAGATAATTAAATTTCCACCAAAAAATCTTTTCCACATTTTCCTCCAACATCACCCAATTTCAAGACAGAGCCAGGCAAAACCGCGAGTTAAATTCAGATTCGAAGGTTTCACGTTTTATCTTTAGAAAATGAAATAAAAAATTGTATAAAAATCCTAGCCATTGCGTGTGGATAAATTATTTGGAAAAAAATCGAAATATCCGGGGCCGTTGAAAATTCCGCAACAAGTCGTAAAATAACCGAAGATTTATGCAGAAATTTCAAATTAACGGTGGGGTAAAAAAGAATTAAAGTGTTACTCAATAAAATTTTCAGTAGCATCAGGTTTGCGTCCCTTTTTCCGCACTAGCGGTAGAACATTTATGAGAATTTGTCTCCGTGTAATATTTACATTCGCTCGTCATTGAATGGAGATGCAGATTTAAAATTCAACCTGTGCCTCCGGGGAAACTTTACCGAGTACAATATCCGTTTGGCGGCTACTACGCTTTAAAAAAAAAAATCCCCCAGCGATAATGCGATTGAGTCATGCGGCTTTGGTAGGACCTTCGTCCAAAGGGCCTTGATTCATGCCTCGGGCAAGGCAAAGATCACTATTTATTTTTTCAATGAAATCCCAGATTTACGCGTCTTCGCGTGATCCCGCGCTTTACCAAGAACGGCATTCCGAAGAAAAAGAAAACAAAAAGTTGGATAAATTGGGCATTCGTGTCCCCGAGGGCATCCCGACTCCAAATTTATACCCAAAAAACCAACTCTAGACAAAATCCGAGAAGAAAAAAATGCACTTTTACCGCAAATTCCTAGTATTTATTAAATCCCGGCAAATCTATGGAGCTAGACGAGTTTTCATAAGGACCTTTTCTGCGGATCTCGACTAGATCTGCAAAAATGGTCTTCACGAAAAATTTGCTATCTTTCACAGATTCGGATATACCAATCGAAAATCATAGAGAGATATTACATGAATTAAGGAAAAAATTAGTCTTGTTTCTGTCGATGCGACTTACTGGGACAGCCGTTGGACATACGACAAGACCCTCCGAGAGCAAAATCTACGTCTTCTCAAGGCGAACAACTTTGTTCTCTGACATTTGCTCGTATCTCCAACGGTTTCCGTGTGAATTGCGTTGACAAATTTGATCGAAAAATTTCTAACGGAATAGTAAGGCCAGAAAACCCGGGAGTTTACCTAAATATCTGAAAATCCAAACGAGATATCAGAATTACCATCTCATGCTTCTATCTAACGCTTTAGTTCCCTATTCTAAGAGGGAATTCCAAAAGGTACACGCTTGCCACAATCGATCATCTCGAAATTCTCGAAATCATGCAGCCATGATTCCGTATTGGTCCGCCTAAAGTGACGCGAAATTACAAAGTCGTAACTCTCTTGCAGAAATCATTTCATACTCGCCCGCTAGCGCAGCCTCTCGTGTCCCCAAAAAAGTCCCTAGACAAATATCTCTATCTCCATCTGGTCTCGAAATACCGCCGGAAAATCAGGACAAATAGGAAACTTGAGGTCAGCTGTTATTATATAACAATACTAACACCTGATAAAGATCATAAAACCACAAGTAAATAAATCCTTGAATTTCCTGTAAAATTTCCAATTTCCTAATTTCCCCTCCAAAATCTTCAATGTCACTACAGACAACTCAATTCCTAAAATCTGTCACAAATTCTCACTTCAAACAAATGACTTTGGCACGGCCACTCCCCAATTGAAATTTCTCTCGCAAAATCTCTCAAAAATCAAGTGCCACGTCCAATCTATTATTATCCCCAAATACCAATTGCAACAAATCACCAAAAATAACGTGTCAAATGGCAAACAGAATGCAACCAAATGTCATTTAATAGACAATTGGCGTTAGAATTCCATCGGAAAATCCCCGGAAGATAAAGAAAAAAAAAACCTCGAAAAAATAAACACGAAGCTTATGGACTTGTATCATTGGCAGTCGGCCTTCCCATTTATTTAGCCTTCCGCAATTGCGCGCCAGCTAGTCATGATTCTCATGAAGCCAATGGTACTGGCATCAGGCCGTATGTGCCAGGGGCCCTCTACCATGATAATCCCTCCCCCCATCTCCTGGTACCCCCCACCATTGCGTCACGCACATCTCTTTGGAAACAAAAAAAAAGCCCCCCCCTCCAAAAAAAAAGTAGCCCGAGTTCTTATGATAAAGCCCTTATTACGTCACTCGGTGTGCCCTCATATACTCCGAAGGTCAATAAAGGGAGAATTTCGGTCGCCCGAAAAAGCAAAAAAAAACGTGGATAAAAAAAGGCATGAGTGGAGGGGGGGAGGGGTAAAAACACGCCCACTCCTTTGGCAGTGCGCACGAGTCAAGGTCCCGTTCCAATTTGGGTTCCTCGACCCACGTTCTCTGGACCAGGAGGATAGGTCACAGGAGCTTGAGACCCCCCTTTTTTGCCCCCCCCCCCTCCTTTTTCGCGGTTATGCCGGAGGTCATTTACTTTTACCGCGCCT